CCAAACAAAGTAGTTTCGCTTTCACAACGAAACACAGCATCACACACAGCGGCCTAGAGTGAGCGGAGGCCGGAGGCCTAGAGTGAACAGAGGGCGGAGGGCTAGGGTGAGGGGCGGCCGGTGGGCGGGCTTCCGGCAACCACATGTGACGACCCCGGGCTGGACTCCGCTTCGTCCACGGTGAAAACCGATCCGGTGATCCACAGCACAAAGTTGATGTATTTCCTCAGCGACCAGCACGGATCAGCTCTAGGCATGACGAAGCGGATATCGTTCTCTTTTGGAAGGCCAAACTAAGTAGTTTCACTTTCACAATGAAACACACAGCATCTTCATGACATGGCAGCGGTGGCAACAACACTACTACAGTGAGAATAAAAGTTACGCCTTCTTTCTTTGCATGAACATTTGGGCGGAGTTATGCAAATCTTCCCACATAGTGACGTAGATATTTGAGGGCATGTTAGAACGAGCCGTTTTAGGTAGGAGTGGTTGACTCTTAACTTTTATAAAGAATATCTCTTTGGAATTGAGACTTTAGTCTTTGCAACTTTACAGATCTTCTTTATGCACCAAGAGCTTGTAACAGTCCAAAGAGAAAGGAAAAATTTAAATCGCATCATATGACCCCTTTAATCATGTGTAATTAGTCTATGGACAAACCATATATATTTTTTGTTATATTTTTTCTATTGACTATTATCAAAATTACTACTTCTAGAAACAACAGAAATAATAATAATAGTAGTAGTAGTAGTAGTAGTAGGCTAGTAGTATATTATTATTATATTAGTATATATATTAGTAGAGTATATTAGTATATAATTATAAAACAACTAGGTAAAAGTAAGAATAAACTACGAATCATCTTATAAAAAGTGAGCCATCCTACTATTAAAATCACTTGCTATGACAACTAATAAAAAGTTTAGTTTCACAAAATGATTGCAAAACTTAAAAAAAACATTGTTGAAACAAAATGTTAGATGTTTCATATCATAATAAAATAAATTATTACACGATTATGGTCTCCGATATGAAAAAAAAAAAACCTGCATGTGATTTGGCATTTCTTTATATTTGCACAGTTTACTAGCTAATGCTGCTCAAATGTGCCATTAATGTAGGCTACTGACACAAAAATATATAGTGTATTTTATACAAATATAACTGATGTAAATGACAAAAACAAAGTTTAAGGCTGATGTCTCTATTCCTTTTCACAGAAGCAAAGCAGCAGATGTTATAAATAAAAACAGTTAACAATGTTGTTGAATATAATATATTAAACCCGTTATTGCACGACATAGGCCTATTAGGCTACACAGACGAAACAGTCGGAGATGCGTTTATGCTTTTTTTTTTTTACGCATTAGTAGTAAATCAAGACTTCGCAAGTTCTCTTGTAAAAAAAAAAAAAAACATAGAATAGGCTAAACTGTGTACAGAAAACGAGTAAAGAACTCTCAACATTAGCTACTAAAATGGTCAGTTTAATCTCGCAAAAACTCCCGTTAGGCCTAATAAAAAATCTGACTACACTGCACAATTAATCTCTTACACTGCATCTTTGTTGTTTATGATGAATTATGTGCTTGAACGTAAGCTACACCGCTTTTATTATTATTGCAGCTTAATGTTCAAATTAGCTGCAGTGCTCCGACTTTTTGCCACAAGGAAAAGTGCGTACGCCTGCTCAGACCCTGACATGACGGTGAGTACTTTTCCACGTCAAAGGCCGTTTTTATATAAATATGAAAGTTGCCGTGGATTTTAGCGTACGCACACTCTAAAATCAAATCTGTGCATACACATATTTTATAAATGAGGCCCCTGCTCACAACAGTACCCATAGGATCCCTAATTTTGTTGCATAGTACATTTGTTGTCAGAGATCATATCTTCTGTTGTAAGAAGAACAGATAATGAATTTCCTTAATATAAACTATTTAATTAAAGTGTGGATTCTTAATATTTGTGTTATTCCATAACCGTTTTTAAAAGCAATTATAGGCACTTGAGACACAGCTAAAAGTGCTTAGGGCAACCAGTCAGCATCCAGAACTGAAACAAAGTGTTTGCAGAATATTTTTTGTACGTTTTTATAAGAAACTGGTGGATTATAAATCAGTCTAACAGTAATATTCTATATTGACCACTAGAGCATGCACATGGCACAAAACTACCGCTTCCCTGCATGCGAGCACTTTTTCATAAGACAGCTTCACTGAACAACAGACAAAGAATTACATGCATTCCTTCCAACATCCGATCACATTATGGGTGGTAAGAAGGAGCTGTGAGCCATAGATAAACCATTGAAAAATGCAGCTCCCTCTCGCTTCCCCTGTGTCGCAGTGATGGTGGACTATGGGTATTTTCACGATTGCAGCTCTCCTCTGACATTTGGAGCGGCGTGACCACCGCACGTCCCACTGACTCACGGATTTGAGCAGATGTCTGGTCCAGTACCGGCACCGGGCCACCTCCTCTGCGAACACTAATGGCTGGTCGTGTAGAGGGAATCTGGAGAGATTTGCACAGATTAAGCTGCAGCATCCTGCGCCCCGGAGAGAGGAGGAGAAGATGCTCGAGCACACATGCGTCTGGAGGGATGCGGGGCACTAAACTCTCATCTATAGCAATATTCCTACTTTTATTACACAGCGCGCAGGCTTCCGACGGTAAGGCGGCATCTCATATATATAGCTGGCATCTTTTAAAACACGCATAACATAAATGAGTGAAAGAATTTGCAATTGATTTTATTCAAATGATTTTGTTGCAAAAAAAAAGAAAGAAAAAAGCCTTGAGCTTGCACCTTTGCTGATGGCACATGCATGGAAAGTCTGAGTGTGATTTCCTTACATCCAAAAACACATCAAATGAAACGTTTACACCACCGTAAGAGCTTCAACATTTTGTTATTAAATGTAGGCAGATCTTACTTTCAGCTGTTTTTAGCGTTTTTATTTGTATTTTTTTATTATTATTATTTTTATTATTATTATTTGCTTCTCATTTTTTGAACCTGTATTTGGGTTACAATATCTACAGTATTAAATAACCCATATGCACTTATGCATTGGCTGTGTTAAATATGCAAAATTATACACTACTTTGCCATTACTTTTTGTGAACTATGTGTGTGTGTGTGTGTGTGTGTGTGATGAAGCGCACGTGAGTGTCTAGCAGTAACGCAGTGAACGCTGATGGATACTGCAGCTCTACACGAGATTGCAGCACTCTATTGTCTCTTAACACACCTAACACGCTTAAAACCACATCTGTTTCCTGACATAATATCTGCATATCATCATATGCATCAGTTAATTGCATGAAATAACTAACATCGTTGTACCTAATCTAGGGACTAATCATTTGTTGAGAACATATTGCACAGTAGGTGTCATAAATCAACCGGTGCAAAGGAGCATTAAAACTGTCCACAGCAGCATGGTCTGATTTTAGATGCTGACTGAGGTTTGCTGGTCCTGGAAATGCTGGAAGAGCATCTGCAGAGATTCTAGTGTTCTACATTGTGAATGAATGTGGACTAAATGTCACCAACATTGTAGAGAGCAGCAAGTTTAACAGATGAATAAATATATGATTATATTATTAATAAATGTCAAAATGCATAAAGATTGAAAAATGTCTTTAGTGCAGTATATATATATATATATAAACAATAGAATTCAAAAGAAAGTCTCATCATGATAGAATAAAGAAATGTGCGTGTGTGTGTGTCCAGTTGAGAAATGAATATTTGCTTTAACTGGGTCACTGTGCTGTGAGCGAGATAGATCAGTGTTTGACCTGTTTTAGTATTTCTCCCAAACATTTATAGCATGTTGGAGAGTTAGGGGTTGGTTGGCACAGGGTTTATTTTTGGATCGTAATTTGGTGCTGTCACATAAATTGTGTTCTCTTGACCTACACTGATTTAATCTATTAAGGCATTAAAAAGTCAAAACCCATCAAGGTAAAATTAAATGTGATTTGGAGAAATTCAGCATTACATCACTTGCTCACCAGTGGATTTTCTGCAGTGAATGTATGCCATCAGAATGAGAGTCCAATAAAAACATCACAATAATCAAAAAGTAATCCACACAATTCATAACTGACTCAAATCCCTTAACATCTTGTAAAGCAAAACGCTGTGTGGTTGTAATAATCACATTAATTATTTAGATGTTTGTAATGTTAAACTGTTGCTTTTGGCTAGAATACGACTCCTCTATCCATAATATTGCTTTCTCTAGTAAAATAGATGTCTGGTCTGAATGGTTAACCAATGCTAATTCAATATATAATTCTTAAAATATTTCATCAGCCACCAGTAGAGTTGGATGGTACAAATGCACAACATTGTCAATCATTGTAAGATGTTTATCATTAATTAATAAAGGTTCAGAAATATTTTGTGACATTGAATTTATGAAAGGATGGATGGATGGATTTTTCCTAAAATTCATTAAGATGATGTTTCTTGTAGATTGTTTTTAATAAAATATACTTAAAAACAGCTAATCGAGGTACTAGAAATTACTTGTACTAGAAATTACAGTCAGGTGTGTTATAGCAGAGTGAACAGTAAACTGCAGGAAATTGAATGTCTAAAAGCAGGACTGAACACCACTGACTGAGGTTCCACCTGAAAATAGTTAAAGGAGACATATTATGCCCCTTTTTACAATATGTAATATAAGTCTCTGGTGTCCCCAGAATGTGTCTGTGAAGTTTCAGCTCAAAATACTCCACAGATCATTTATTATATCATTTTGAAAATGCCTGCGAAGTTTTCATTCACACACAAGTTTACGTTAAAAACACACACGAGTTACAAAAACAGTCGGTTATGTCTGTGAAGGTAAACAGCTGGGAAATAAATTGCATGTTTAGTTTAGATCTGTGTGGCAGCAGCAATATACAGTAAATAAATCAATAAATCCACTGCTCTGTTGTCTCCTCTGAGGCTGGGACTCTAAACAGTGTTCTGTGCTCGTCTGTGCAGCCAAAGACAGAACAGTTAACATGTTTTGCTCAAACATTCGCCATGGCATTAGAACTGGTACACCGTTAATGAGATCCCTTTGCCACGTCACCAAGGGAGCAAAATCAGACACGCTCGTTTTTTCAGACGCTTGCAGAAAAAGGCTTCCCAAATAAAAAATTTATTTTTATAAAATAAAAATTTTTACTTTTTCACGTTTCCTTGTTTGGTAGATGCACTTGGGGACCTGATTATAGCACTTAAAACCTGGAAATGTCAGATTTTCATGATATGTCACCTTTAAATTACAAGGGTTCCATAACATAGATTGTTTAACTTTGCGATGTATTGCCATAGTGCATAATGTTTTCTGTCAGTTATTAAACAAGACCTTATTTATAATTGTAATTTAAATAAATAAATACATTTAGGGTTTTAGATCACATTCACATTCACTTTATAGAAATGTGTGTGTGTGTGTGTGTATATATATATATATATATATATATATATATATATATATATATATATATATATATATATATAGAGAGAGAGAGAGAGAGAGAGAGAGAGAGAAGAATCAAAAGATATATTTATAGTACACAAGCACCAATGTTGTTTGATAATGTAATTGACAGGTCGCCAAATTTAAAATGTAAGCTGCAAGTGGTTGAATCAAAGTTTGACTTTTTTTCCTGTAATTTACACTGAACAAATTATAAACGCAACACTTTTGTTTTTGCCCCCATTTTTCATGAGCTGAACTCAAAGATCTAAGACTTTTTCTATGTACACAAAAGGCCTATTTCTCTCAAATATTGTTCACAAATCTGTCTAAATCTGTGTTAGTGAGCACTTCTCCTTTGCCGAGATAATACATCCACCTCACAGGTGGGGCATATCAAAATGCTGATTAGACAGCATGATTATTGCACAGGTGTGCCTTAGGCTGGCCACAATGAAAGGCCACTCTAAAATGTGCAGTTTTATCACACAGCACTAGTGTTGTCAAAAGACCCGGTATTTCGGTACCAAGTCGGTACTAAAAAAATGAAACCATTACGGTACCAGGTTTTTTTAAGTACCGGTGGTCAACCGGTTTAAGTACCCGGTCAACCCGGTTCTTGATGCGCTATCCGAAAGCTATCCTCTTCCAGTGTTGCCAAGTCCGCGGTTTTCCCGCGGAATTGGGCTGCTTTAACACTGTTGCCACGGGTTGAAAAACGACCTCATTAACGTGATATTTAGCCCCTGGAATGCAAATTATTACCAGGGGAACCCCGCCAAAACATGCGCATTTTATCCTCGGAACGCGATTTTTAACGGGGGACCCCTCGAAACGTGATTGGGTGGGTTTTGTTGTGAAAACCTGGCAACCTCTTCTTAAAAGCAGTGGCGACCTCAAGAGGAGGAAACGCATCAAACTAACAAAACACCCTGATCAAGTTCAAGCAGGTAAGTTTCAATTACATTTTTAATATTTAGAGCTTCTGTTATGAACATTATTCCATATTTTAATTTGAATTTCGGATTGAAATAAACATCACCGTTAGCGTATACGTAGTAAATCGTTAGCATAAGCGCGGCTAACGCTAATATAACGAGCATTAGAATGAATTTTGTTCATTTTGTTCAAAATTATTTCTTTGTTAACTATTTAATGCTCATATAACTTTTATTACTATAAAAAACAGGAGGACATAATGTTATTTAACTATTTTTACACACCAGAGGCTTTTAAATGAACTGTGTAACCAAAATATGCGTGTTAGAGAATGTACAAATGTATGGTTAACAGTGTTTATGTCATATCAGTCCGTCAGAAAAAGTAATTTTTTTGTTTGTTTGTTTTGTTTTTTTAGTTAGTTAGTTGTAATTCTTGGCTGAATATCTCTAGTTTGGATTAAATACAGTTTGGATTAAATAAAAGTACAGTCAAATTTTATCTCCTGTATAGACTTTACTGTACAATGTTAGATCTAGTAACATCTTACAGTGAGTGAACAATATATTTTTAAAACATTCATTAACGTTTGTTCATTGTGCATTAAATCATTTTAACAGATTGAACTTTGAAATTAACCCTAAGAAGAATAATTAAGCCATCTCCAAAGGCGTTTCAGAGAATTTGGCAGTACATCCAACCGGCCTCACAACCGCAGACCACGTGTAACCACATCAGCCCAGGACCACCACATCCAGCATCTTGACCTCCAAGATCATCTGAGACCAGCCACCTGCAGCCATCAGCTGCTGCAACAATCGGTTTGCATAACCAAATAATTTCTGCACAAACTGTCAGAAACCGTCTCAGGTGGCATCAAAAGACAGAGTGTTTTCTAACACTTAGAATGCATTAGAATGCCTTCAGTGCACAAGAAACCAGTGGGACTGACCATGCCATTTTAGCTCAATGACAACGCTTCCTAGATGTATTGCTATCAAAGCAAAACATCTACATTTCTATACTGACGTTTATCCCATAAGACGCTGTCTTCTTCTGAACTGTCAAACCTCTCCACAGATGGTTATAAACAGCACACTGTCCTTCGTGCCACTGCAGGGGTAAATCAGGTTACACGTCATGGCCTGTCCTGTGGCTCAGGAATGGTTATCTTTCCCAAGACATTTGTGGGTAACACTTTACTTGAAGGGGTGTGCATAAGACTGACATGACACCTTCAT